AATGAGGCTTTTGATAGATGCCTTACTGAGGGGGTTGAAAAATCAAAAAGCTCATGTGAAAAAAAGTTGGAGTCCATCTTATATCCTGTATGTATTTCAACAATAATTTCATTAAAACAACTGACTTTGTCATTTATAGGAGTGCTTTTAAAGACATTTTTTGTGTTTTTCCTAAGAAACAAGCATGTAGCGGTTTTCATGGGACATTGAGGTGTGTAGTTGAGAACAGTGGTACCTACAAACCAAAGAAAAGGAAACAAATATACCTGAATGTGATGTTGTCTTCATCCCTGACTGACAGCATTGATGAGGAATTCAGGAAGACCTTTCCGTAAGAAATTTATTTAATGGGAACATAAACCTTGGATGACACATATTACAGACTATGGAGAATTTGAATTAAAATATTTTACATTTTACTATGAAACTCCTCAAATTATACCATGTCATACGTACATATATAGAAATCATGTAATAATAATATGGAGATTTTACATTGTTACCAATATGAAACATTTCAACTTGTTACTGTTTCAGAAATGAAGCAGAACGTGGACCATTCAACGGAGTCATCAATAAGTTTTCAGTCAACACACAGAGACTCACTGAAATGAACAAAGCTGTCGAACTGCAACTGATCTTTCTCAAGACAGAGGTAAAAGGTCTTATTTATTTGTCTAATGTGAGGAAGACTTCAGTGGAACAGTCAGCACAGGCCCACCTTGTGTCTTCCTCATACCCAGGGCAAAATGATCTCCATAGGAGTTTAGAGCTCAGGGGGCTTCTGGGTCGGTGCCCAGGGAGTTACAGCATGGCAGTAAGCAATAAGGCTGTTGGATTAGCTTACCACTAAATAAATTGATTTTATTGAACATTAATCTAAGCTATTATACTGATTAACATCATTGTTGTTGAGCTCTCAATCACTGAATAAAAGTCAAAAAGTCTCTCACTGATCACCAGTCCTCAATTGGTTTGAGTTGGTGGTTGTGGCATTTTGTTGAAAATCACTATTCCCTCATAGATTCCCTCTAAGTAGGGACTTGCATATTTGTTAATGAAATTTTGAGTTTAGTGAACTCTTTAACCATCTATTGTTGACCTCATGCTCTAGGTAGTGGCTTCTGTTGTCTCCCATTCCAAGCTGCAACTGAGATGTCCTCTCAGCTTGCTTCAGTTTGTTTTTTTCTTCTCCTGGATCTTCGAAAAACAACCGGACAGAGCCTCTGGCAGCATCTGCTGATCAAGTTCCTGTTCCTCTTTTTTTCCTGTTGTTTTTAAAGGGTTCTTGTCATGTCGGCTTCATCCTTTCCAATCAAACTTCCTTCTTTTGCCTACTGTCACTTCTCTCTGGCCTTTAAGCTTTTGCATTCTTCTTGGTCACTCTTGGCCACACCCAGGGAGTACCTGCAGCCAACAACTGTCACCATGATTCAAAGTTATTTTTTCCCTCATTCGGTTTTCTTTTCCTTTACTCAGCTAAACATTTCACTCTAAGTATAAAATTTTTCAATACAGTCATTTCTCATTTTAGCTTTACACATTTGAATAGTACTTGTAAACAAAGTACACATAAATCATCTTATTATTAACCTTACTTACTAAATATCAATTTCCTATTTTATGCATTTTAGCTGTTGCACTTTTATTATTCTCCCTTCTCCAACTCCTCTTGCTGTTTTTCTCTTTCTCCTCGAAATCCAGTTCTTCCTTTCACTCATCCATGACCAGATTTTTTGCATTCTCCTCCATTTCTTCATTCTGTTTTTCCCAAAGGTCTGCTTTTTCCTCCTCCAATGGTACAGGTGTGATGGGGGAATACAAGTTTACTATCAAGCCCTCCATATATTCTTCTTCCTGCACCAGGGTAGTTTTTGTCACTGGTGTGCTTTCCTTGGAGATGAGTAATGCTTTTTCATCTTTTTGGGCTTGTCTGTTGTCTTTTTAGACTGCCTCCTTAAACAGTGGGCATTCCAGTATTTCTTGCAAACATTCTTGTTGTTCATGTGGAACTTCTAGTAAAGAGACAATCTGCTTAATGGCCTCTGGCAGCTCCTCCTGTAAGGTCATTTCTGATACTGGATCATCAAAGGCCGGCACTGCTTTAATGACCTGTGTCCCTTTGTTACTTCTTTCCTGGGGCTTTTCCAAACTTTCTCCAGGACCCGTTTTTACAGCTCTGCTGACACACACACTGTGTATGAAGAATTCTAATATGCTAAATATTGAAACTGAGCAGATGAGCTTTATTTGCAATGCCTTGACATTATGTTAAAACACTTTATATTCTGTCTTTAAGGAGGACAAAATTAAGACAAAACTCAACAAAACCATCCGAGAGCGTAAGAAAACTATCTACAACGGTCTGGAAGAGAAAATCGAGGAAACCATGCAAGAATGCTATAAAAGTACAAAAAAAACCCTGACATACTGTTTACAACCTGCCACTATTAATTCACATTTACATTCATCATAACTGCATAACATTTAAGTTTGACAACAATTTTCTGTTTAACTGTAGAAGCAGCAGATTGTAGAGGACAGGGTTCACTGCAACGGATGAGGGATGCTCTTCAGATTCACGTACACGTTTCAAAGAACACCATGTTTGAGGAGGCTAAAGCTGCTATGTTGACCCAGCTGAATGAGCTGAAGGTTTGTCACAATTTATAAGAAATGCATTAATGATGTAGTGAAGTATATTGTGCTACACATTTATCTTTATCCACGATTCCATTTACAGTACTTCCATTTATATACTCAAGTGGAATATGTATTCTTATGAAAGCTGCCTTTGCCAGTAAAAGGCCTGAAGGTTCTGTCACAAATGTGCAAATGATTATGAATCTAAGATATATAGATTATAAACATAAAAGCCTACAGTCTACAGCCATTAACCACCATTATCAACCAGTCTCTGAACATACAGTATATTCATATTAAAATGTATGAGCATTTTTGATGTTGAACACAATATTTGACTGAGTGATGAAGGTTTTGGTGATGAAATAGGAGGAAATCCGGGATGACCTGGAGAAAACCCTGACAGAAGCAGTTGAACTGTCGCTCAAGACAGATGATGACTCAATCCCAGGTAAAGAGAACGCATCACAATAAAATCATTTATGTAGATCACTTTGAATTCTGTAAACATATTAAGAATAATCCAGTAAATTTCCGATAGTGAATATAAAATGTTTTTTTTTTTTTTTAATGTGCTTTTTTGATTGTTTGTTTGACTTTCAGATGTCTCAGAGGAGCTTGAGAGGGTGAAGGAATACTTAAAGTGACCATGGCATGTTCGTTTTGCTCATTTCCAGCCTTTTAATGTTTAATCTTGGGTACCTCTAGATTAGCTTTGCATCCCTCATAATTCCAAATAGTCTGTAATTATTTCAGAATATTAAAACCAGAGAGCCACTTCCTAAAAATGAGAGGATAGTTTGTGAATGCGCACAACTCCTGTTGCAGGTGTTGTGTCGAAAGTGGACAGCACAACAAACTGCACTGGCATTAATTTGAATTTCTCCTCCGTTGATAGGGAAACAATGGTATAAGTACCAACGATAAGAGATGTGTAACACTAAACAAAGTGTGTAACTGAGAAACCCCACATTTTAACTGGCATAATGCAGACATAGTAACTTCTCCAGCCTTAGAACAATTCTCTCTAAAGTTGCAGAAACAACACATTAACGGACATGCAACTTGTGTTTCTTTAAACTTACCGTTAAGTCCCACCGAGTAGTGGAAACATCACTCCCTTTCAAGTAGCTCCAAGGTCGGTAAATCCAACTGGTCGCTGCGTCTTCCCCCACAGGACCACATACAGTCCCAAAGTTGTGAAATTAATTCCAACAGGTAGTGTAGCACCAACAATAACATCATCGATTTTTAATCCGTTTAACCAGTAACGCATCACATTATTGTATAGTCCCTCATAATTTCACCTATTTTATCACTATGGTGATGTATTGTATAATCTGATTGCTGTGGGGAGGAATGACCTACAGTAACGCTTCTTACACTGGGGATGTAACAGTCTTGTGCTAAAAGAACTGTTCAGAACCACCACTGTGTGGTGCAGGGGATGGGAGGGGTCATGCATGATGGATGTTAGTTTTGCCAGCATCCTTCTGTCTGCCATCACCTCGATGGAATCCAGAGGGCAGCCCAGGACAGAACCAGCTCTCTTAACCAGCTTGTTAAGTCTCTTTCTGTCCCTGACCGTACTACCTCCTGCCCAACCCACAACAGCGTAAAAGACTGCAGATGCCACCACAGTATCATAAAATGTCCATCCACGATTCCATTTACAGTACTTCCATTTATATACTCAAGTGGAATATGTATTCTTATGAAAGCTGCCTTTGCCAGTAAAAGGCCTGAAGGTTCTGTCACAAATGTGCAAATGATTATGAATCTAAGATATATAGATTATAAACATAAAAGCCTACAGTCTACAGCCATTAACCACCATTATCAACCAGTCTCTGAACATACAGTATATTCATATTAAAATGTATGAGCATTTTTGATGTTGAACACAATATTTGACTGAGTGATGAAGGTTTTGGTGATGAAATAGGAGGAAATCCTGGATGACCTGGAGAAAACCCTGACAGAAGCAGTTGAACTGTCGCTCAAGACAGATGATGACTCAATCCCAGGTAAAGAGAACGCATCACAATAAAATCATTTATGTAGATCACTTTGAATTCTGTAAACATATTAAAAATAATCCAGTAAATTTCCGATAGTGAATATAAAATGTTTTTTTTTTTTTTTAATGTGCTTTTTTGATTGTTTGTTTGACTTTAAGATGTCTCAGAGGGCAGAGGAGCTTGAGAGGGTGAAGGAATACTTAAAGTGACCATGGCATGTTCGTTTTGCTCATTTCCAGCCTTTTAATGTTTAATCTTGGGTACCTCTAGATTAGCTTTGCATCCCTCATAATTCCAAATAGTCTGTAATTATTTCAGAATATTAAAACCAGAGAGCCACTTCCTAAAAATGAGAGGATAGTTTGTGAATGCGCACAACTCCTGTTGCAGGTGTTGTGTCGAAAGTGGACAGCACAACAAACTGCACTGGCATTAATTTGAATTTCTCCTCCGTTGATAGGGAAACAATGGTATATGTACCAACGATAAGAGATGTGTAACACTAAACAAAGTGTGTAACTGAGAAACCCCACATTTTAACTGGCATAATGCAGACATAGTAACTTCTCCAGCCTTAGAACAATTCTCTCTAAAGTTGCAGAAACAACACATTAACGGACATGCAACTTGTGTTTCTTTAAACTTACCGTTAAGTCCCACCGAGTAGTGGAAACATCACTCCCTTTCAAGTAGCTCCAAGGTCGGTAAATCCAACTGGTCGCTGCGTCTTCCCCCACAGGACCACATACAGTCCCAAAGTTGTGAAATTAATTCCAACAGGTAGTGTAGCACCAACAATAACATCATCGATTTTTAATCCGTTTAACCAGTAACGCATCACATTATTGTATAGTCCCTCATAATTTCACCTATTTTATCACTATGGTGATGTATTGTATAATCTGATTGCTGTGGGGAGGAATGACCTACAGTAACGCTTCTTACACTGGGGATGTAACAGTCTTGTGCTAAAAGAACTGTTCAGAACCACCACTGTGTGGTGCAGGGGATGGGAGGGGTCATGCATGATGGATGTTAGTTTTGCCAGCATCCTTCTGTCTGCCATCACCTCGATGGAATCCAGAGGGCAGCCCAGGACAGAACCAGCTCTCTTAACCAGCTTGTTAAGTCTCTTTCTGTCCCTGACCGTACTACCTCCTGCCCAACCCACAACAGCGTAAAAGACTGCAGATGCCACCACAGTATCATAAAATGTCCGAAGGAGTGCCCCGCACACACCAAAGGACGTCAGTCTCCTCAACAAGTGGAGACGGCTAAGGCCCTTCCTGTACAGGGCATCAGTGTTTTTGGTCCAGTCCAGTTTATTGTTGAGGTGGACATCAAGGTATTTAAAGGTGTCCACAATATCTGAGCCCTGAAAGCTCACCGGCGTGAGTGCTAGTGATTTCCATCGGAGGTCAGTCACCATCTCTTTTGTCTTACTGGTGTTCAGGACCAGTCGATTCCCACTCGTCCCCACATTGAGGTAAATGCTCACCAGTGTTTGTTGTGACAGCCCTACTGTTTGTCATCATTGTTCATCACGAGGCCTCTGGAGTTTAAGTTATCCATTCCTGTTCCCTTTGAGTGTTGTTTTTACATGTGCTATGACTTATGTGATTTAAATATAGAAATTAGTTTGAGATTTTAAATTTTTTTTGGGGCAGGAAATTGTTGCCTATAATCAATTATAATCCAGAGCCAGAGAGAAAATTTGGAGAGACATGAATATCATGAAACGGTTCCCAGTCAGTTTCAAATTAGGGACATTATACAGTAGTTTGTATAGTACGCTATAGTATGGCTCTTAGTCACTAGGCAACTATGACAGCCCAAAGGCTTTTTGTTTTTAGTGATTTAAACGTTTTTATCCTTGCTAAATACATTCTCATGTTTTTCCCTTATGACTTTAGTGCTGGTTAGTTGGGGAAGAAGTGCTGCAATCTCAGTGATTTTATGGATGTGTACATTTCAGCTTGAATGTTTATTACGGTCATACTGTGGGCTATATTTCATACAAACTTTAGGATTTAGGAACATTTGTATGTTTATTTTTCTCTTACGCTGAAGGCCGAAACTATTCTTTTACTGCAGAATCATGGTTTATATTTGTTCATACTGTATAAGAGAGACACAAATGGTGATGAAAAAGATAAGAAATACACTCATTCATTTATTTTCTATATTGTTTTTAAAATTTGTTTTTAATCCTAGAAATTTGTGCTAATTCTAAATGCAAACCTGTTTGATATCCACTGTTGCAATCCTCAATAAAGTTAACCTTTGGGTCAAATACTCACATCCAGGTTCTTTATCATCAATGTTGTCAAAAAACTAAAAGCTGCTCTAGGTTTTCCTAACAATAGTTTTGATTGTATGATGGAACTTCCTTACCCACAGAGGAAGGAAAATGTGATAGTTGCAGGAGTTTGGTTTGGCCCAGAAAAACACAAGATGAACACATTTTTAAAGCCTTTTATAGATGAATGTTGTGATTTAGCCCAAACTTTATCATCAATGTTGTCAAAAAACTAAAAGCTGCTCTAGGTTTTCCTAACAATAGTTTTGATTGTATGATGGAACTTCCTTACCCACAGAGGAAGGAAAATGTGATAGTTGCAGGAGTTTGGTTTGGCCCAGAAAAACACAAGATGAACACATTTTTAAAGCCTTTTATAGATGAATGTTGTGATTTAGCCCAAAGTCCATTTCAGTGGAGAGACAACATCACTCCTCCAAAGTCTTCTCCTTGGTTTGCTCCTCTGATGCCGTGGCAAGGCCGCTCCTCTGCAACTGTAAACAGTTCAATGGTGAATATGGCTGTGACTGGTGTTTACACCCTGGCATGATGGTCAGAAAGGGTAATGGATCCATGAGGTCCTACGCGTATGATGAAATGAAACAACCAAGGTCAGATGAAATGTTTAGGGATAATGCAACACAGGCTGAAAACACTAACACCCCCAAAAATGGAGTGAAAGGGTTTTCCCTGCTTTCTAAACTTCCCTCATTTGACATTGTTTTTGGATTTGTACCAGAGTACATGCATTCAGTTCTACTTAGTGTGTCCAAACATCTTGTGTCTCTGTGGTTGGACCCAGTCAACTCTGAGAAACCTTGGTATGTAGGTCAACATATTTCACTAATGGACTCCCGTCTTCTCCGTCTGAAGACACCATCAGAAATAGCCAGGTCTCCACAGTCACTGAAGTGTAGAGACTTGTGGAAAGCATCTGAGTGGTGCATGTTCCTTTTATTTTGTGCTGTTAGTGTCCTGCCTGGTATCCTGCATCCTAAATATCTGGAACATTATCTGTACTTGTTGATTAGCATTCACATTCTGCTACAAGAATCAATATTCCAACATGAGTTTTGGCTGGCCCATGAGTACTTGGTGCATGTTGTAGTAAACATGCAAGAACTTTATGGTGAGGAAAATGTGGCATTCAACTGCCATCAGTTAATCCACTTAACTGAAAGCATGATAAACTGGGGGCCTCTCTGGGCAACATCAGCATTCAGTTTTGAGAGAAACAATAGGGATATAAGGGCTCTGCTTAAAGGTTTACATTATAACCCTCAGCACATTTACCAACAGCTTCTGGTTTGGCAGCACATACCCAGACACCTTAGTTCTTTAGTTTATAACAGGCATTCCAGTTTTGATGAAATATTATGCAAGCTCTCACCAGTGAATGATGGCAGTGGCT